ATTGTTTCATCAATTAGATGCCCTTGTTGTTAATGATACTTTCCACTGTAAACTAGTATAACCAATTAAATGTGTTTGTAAATTATGTACATTTAATTAAGTTATTGTTAATTGTTTATTGGTTTAATTTAAGTGGCTATTGTTCGGGACGAACAATACTAAGGAAGAGGCAGTGTTACGACAGCGGAGGTCACGTGACGCTAGTACACGCCACGCGCTTCTAGAACGTTCATGAAGCGTCGGGAGACTACTAGATATGGGATAGTGTTGTATATATAAGACGGCCAAGAAGTGGACGGGAGGTAATGTGTAATTGAACTGCGGACAGAGTGTTGTTGAGTTGAGTACGTGAGACGTTCGTTGTGAATTATAGCGTTTGTTAAAGCGCGACTGTGGAAATTAAGTGTATTGCAAAGTTGTATTTAGAAAGAATAAACCAGTTTTATTTTAAAAAGGACTTGTGTCGCTAAAGTTTCGTCGGAACGAAATTTACGGAAAATCAACTAATGAACGAAGGCGTAACAGTATCATTTATTTCTATCCTTTTATGATATCCATTTTCATTATTACAGTTAAAATATCTTGATAGTTGTTATTATTTAGTCTAAAAAAAAAGACCTTGTGTTGCATTTACTACATTTATAAATCTTGACTCTTGGCTCTTTACTTTTGATTTTTTCGACTGTATCTAGCAAAAAAGGGATGGTGGGGTATTTTGGTGGATGAAGAGCCTGAAAAAACAGGTGTTAGACTTCTGCCTGTGGAAGCAGATACAAATAAACGCGCCTGTACGGTATGTCGACGGACTTGAAGTTTAAGAATGAAACTACTAGCTGATGTGAAATTATTGAGCGAACATGGTTTTACTTAACTGATTTTGAATAGCAGGAACATGTTGACAGAGAGAACTGAACTTGAAGTTTATGACACCGAGCCAAAGCATGGTTGGCGTTTATTGTCTTGGAATCCAGTTCTTTGACAGAATACTTGTGTTTTCTTCTGGGATAAGAGAGGTAGTGCATAAAGTACAAAGGGTAAATGATTGTTCGTCTCATGTTATCAGTTTGTCTTGCTTTAAGTTAGCTTACCTTTAGACAAGTCTTAAAATATAGCTTCTTTAGGACTTTTCGCTAACCTTGCATTTTAAATTGAGTTAAGATCGCAAAAATAAAAAGTTCACTAAACGATCAGCTGCTACAAAACCCTACTCGGTACATAATACACTAACTTACAAGTTACACTTTTATTTTTGTCTAAAGTTTATTTTCAAAAAGAAAATTTTGTTGGTTATCATTGAATTCCAATACCCGGGACTGACCTGACCATACGCAATAGTATTAATAATATCATTCATTATATAAATTTTAAAATATATATATCATAAATTATTGTACCGTGTTTTGATACGCTTTTTGGGCGTTTCGAATTAACTTATTTTACCTAACATAGTTCCTGAAAGGTAAAACGTTGCAGAATCATTAATGTGTATTAAACTTTAATTTAAAGCATTGATTTTACTTGAAATATTGTTTTCAGATATTAAAAAAGTTACTAAAGATTCTCAAACCGATTTTGTTTGTCCAAATTGCAATAAAATTTATTTAGAAATATTTACAAGTTGAATTTGTTCCAGATTAAAAACGTCACGTAATTTTATTGTTTTCCATCTTACTTTTGGTAACTGTGGTCATGGTATTTTAATAAATTATTCAATACTTATAACAAATTCATTATCTCAGTCATGTTTTCACTTTTTGCAGTCTGCCATTAATTTGTTAAATTATTTTCTAAATGTACTTTTGTGTATAATTACCAAGTCCCACTTTTAAATCAAAGTCTACACTAGTTCTCTAAATTTTGATTTACTTAAAAGAAAAAAAGTTGAATTTCGGGTTTGGATAAGCCTAGTGCAGTGGTGGCGTTAATGACTGATTGCAATTCTTGTGGTTTCAGAAAATATTTTTGTATGGTTGGACTTTTGGTCTTTAAGTTAATGTGCAAATTAATATAATAATAAACTTCTTTTTTTATTATATAGCTAAGAAACGTTACGTAGGAAAGACTGCATTACTTCAGGTAAGATATTAGACGAAATTTAGACACTGCAGACTCTTAGTCTCTTTGTGAATATAATTATGAATCCTTTCCAATAAGTTCGCATATTTCTTTCTAAATCTTGGATAAGATCAAACTGGACAACAATCTAAGTTCATCTTCAACTTTCAAGTGAGTGAGGCCTAACCAGTACATTGTCTAGAACTTGCAAACAATGTGACTGTAAACGTACCTTAAAATTCTTGTACAAAGTTATACTTATAGTCACAGGAGTAGGATAATTCTGTGGATGGAGGTTTCTTTGGTAAAGTGATGTGTTAGAGAAAGATACTTATATCCAGAGAAATATACTTCTGTGACAATGGTTCAAGACAAGATCTACTGTTTGAGTGTTCACAAAGTAAGGTATATTGTATTGTTTATTCATTGTTGCTTTATTCTGATCAGAAGTTATAAACAATATTGGTTATACTAGTTAGTATAACAAATGTAATTACCTTCTGTTTGATTTATTGTTTGTTATCATTCTTTCATTGTAAAGATTGTTTTGCTTTGTTAGCTTAACACTTGGATATTATGGCTAATCTAAATCTGCTAAGCCAGCCAATTATTGTGAGACATTCCTGGGATTACACTGTTTACACAACAAGGGCATCTAATTGATGAAACAATGCATTCTAATCTTCCTAAGTATAAATTTTAGAAAAGCATACTTAATTAGTGATCCTGATTGTTAGGTTGGTTTTTAGTTTTGCTCTAATTTAAGTACATAGCTTACTATGATTTGAAATAAATATTTACTAATGTTAGTATGTGAACTTATGAGTTTCTAGATTTAACATATGTAATCTCTGTATTTGTTTTGAAAGGATTTAAATTTTGTGCACACGAACCATCAATATTTTTAAAAAGTGGGAAAATTTTACTGGTTTGATGGTAAAATGATGTGACGTTTAGATGATAGCAATGTGCTTGCTAAGATTGTAAAGTATCTGGAGTGGGACATTTCAATAGTATTCATATATATATATATAATCAAAAACACCATAGGTATATATATATAATAAAAAAGGATTGAACATGCAACTTAAAGGAATGAGATCAAAATTGCCGGCCAAACTGGTAGGTATACTTATTGCATTGATAACAATTTTACAGCAAATATTCATTCATTAGTTAGCCAGGCCATGTTTTTTGTTCAACTTGGGGCATGATGGAGGGTAAAACAAAATACATGGCCTAGCTAACTAATCTTGCATTGAAAAAATGTATTTAGAAAGACATCAGCAAAAGAACTGTCACATGGGAAGAAATGGAAAAGATGGAGCTGGATGGAAGAAAGTATTATCAATTGATGGCCTAATGTGACAGGAGATACAGGATGGACTAAGTGCTAAGTAAGTAAGCTAACCAATGAATGAATATTTGGTCTAAAATTCTTATCAATGCTATACGTGTAGCTACTAGTTTGGCTACCAATTTTAATTTATTCGTTTAAGTTCCATGCTTAAACCTTTATTGGCTGCACCTATTTTTCACATTTATGGTGTTTTTGATTAGATATCATGACTTTTTTTTGTCACACCAACAAACCACAGTCAGTAAGAAAGTGACACTTGATAGTAACCAACATCAGCTTTAGGTTTGCAATCCTATTATTTGGAACAGACCTATACTTTACAGAATTAATCATATTCTTTAAAATATATGGTGGTAGTTTTTCCTCTCTAAAACAGTGTTAATAGCTTCCTTTATAGTAATGCCATGGAAACTAGATTAACAGTTTCTTTTCATCACATTCATGCACTTGGTACAGCTGTATCAAGCATAATTATTTACACTAATTGCTTAAGCTAATATCATGTGATGCTAAATGCTGTTTAATTGGGAGAATTTCCTAAAATTTAGCAAATTTGTGCTTAAATTTGGCAATAAATAATGAATATTAACCATCCACCTGTATGATTCTTTTGAAAACTTGAACTAAAAACTGTTAATCTAGTTTGCTTGGCCTAACTAATACTTATGTATCTGCACGTATTTTCACCCTATAGTTTTTCTGCTCTAAATCAGCCATCTTTATTCTGAACAGCAAAGCACTAAAAAATGTCCACCTTTACTCTTAGGTGACTTTGTGCATAGGTGTGTACAAAAATCTCGGTCACAATTGAGCAGTTTAGGGCGAATAACTTTGTATATGTGGCTTATATTTATACCAAATTTGACACCTAATTGTAGATTGCCAAGATCTATCAATGTACCAAATTTGAAGAAATCCATGAAAGTTAAATGTTTTTCTCTCAAAGTTTCCGTACTTTCGGAAAAAAAAAGTAGGAGAAATTCAATCAAAATTTGTATCTCGTATATTTCTTAATGGATTACCATGAAATTTAGTATGTGAAGTAAGGATCCAGTAGAGCCAAGGTTTTAGGTATGATGATTAGAGAGGTTGGTGGTAAAAACCAGTCTAGCCCATAGATGCACGTGCTTGCAGTGGCTGCCATGATACTCCTCCCCTCCCCCTCGGCCATGCAAGAAAAAATATGTTATTATTTTCATGTTCATAATTTTAATGACTTTGAAAATTTCTAAATTCCTTCAGAATGTCTGATAAAACACACCACACAAGCAGTCACTAGGCAAACATATGTTATAAGGGTAACGATGATACTTATGTTCCACATTAAGTACAAGTGAATTAGCATGGTGTGGGTCATTTGTTCGGTTTTGTACATAGGTTTTTTTCCTGTGGACTTTTCTTGAAAAGCACTTTAGCGAAAAGGTTATTTCCTTCATAACTTTTCTAGAAAAACGTTTGTTTCTAGTAGGCTAACTGCAAAGTAAACTCTACTACGACGTTGACAATAAAATTTTTCATGCTTATGGTGAACTTTTTCTCAGTGATATTTTGTGCTGAGCAGCAATAGTCACATTGTATGAGAGTCTTAGATGGCCCTGCCCACTGTAGCTACATCCAAGAGTAGAGCACTTCACTGAAAATATGGGATAGTTTGGATTACCACAGTCCTACCTGCAGAAAGTGGAAAATTACTAAACTGTCACTCCTGTTACTAACACACAGTGTGTCCTGCAGTTTATTTTGGTTGCATGACATACTATTGTGTGTCTTGATATGAAAACTACAGTTACTTCATACAGTAATAGTTTTATCAGAATTATTGCATCTTCTTGTG